CGGCGACTACATCATCAGTGTTGTAGGGTGTACACTACCCAGTGTTTCCCCGGCATTGACACGAGCGAGGTGGGCCGCCTCGCTCAAATTCTCAGCCGCCACACAGTTATTTGTCCAAAACACCGCCTCGCTGACAAAAATCTCATACAATGTGTTCAGAATAGCTTAGAATACACGACATTGCACCATTCTTTAACAAAAATTGGGGGAGGGCATGCCCCCGGACCCCCCTAGTTCCCCCTCCCCCTGTTTCAATTTCATCCTGGGGAGAACCCTGCATCCGTCTATCAACAATATGGGCTACGGTGTTGACATTTGGGACCGAAAATACATTGGGATGTCGAATCGGGAGGGGGGGATAGATAGATAGATAGATAGATAGATAGATAGATATATTTTTGGCTATGTTTCTTTCAACCAAGTGGATCACCAACTGAGCGCTTTATTTCCCGGGCAACGCCGGGGGTCCTGCTAATGATATATAAAACTGTACATTTGAATCACAGGTTCGGAGATCCTATGATATGAAAGCGATATTTCTTGCAGGTGCTTTTTTACTTCTCTTCATCTTCGTCATGAATCCCTGAGAACAATGTCCAGCAACCTATTCATAACAGAATAAACAATAATTAAACCCATTATTAATTATACTTGTAGTGTTTACTCACTAGCAATCTTTCCATAACAAACACCAAACTTTGCTTCACAACTGGTTCTAAAGCTTATTGCCTCACACTGATGTAAATTCAAGCTTGCCTGTTGTGCGGAAGTGCTGCCGTCGATGCAACCAGTTCGGCAATGTCACCCGACAGTAACCCCGTTGTCTTGGCGACCTGTAGCGCCTGCCCGAGGCGATTCAGCGACATGTTGAGAGACTCCGCATCGACGGAGTCGCGCGGGATGGCAGCGAGTGTGGCAAGGCTGTGCTCAAAGTGTTCGCACAAGATGACGTGTCGCATGCCGATCTCCTGGCCACGCAGCATCGTCTGCAGCACGCCTAGGTGCAGGCGTGAGAAGAGCGTCTGGGCGGCGGCGCTGTCGTCTGCGCTGCCATCATCAGCAGCGACCCTCGCCACCGGTGCCATCACGCACCAGTGGATGAGACCCGGGATCGGCGTCGCGCTGTGCTTCGGCGACGCGATGGCAGACATCAGCGCGAGACTGGGCTTGCTGAACACCCACTCCGTGACAATCTCCATCAGGTGCGGCGGACAGTTCAGTGACGCATCTCCTACGAATAAATGTTACGGATTGCCAGTGAACGCTCTGCCACCAGGTCTCCGTTCAATTTTTAGCTCACCTTGACATCGTCAAGCTGAGCTATTGCCATGGGTCGTCGTCCGTCGTACGTCCGTCCGTCCGTCAACATTTGGTTTCGGTCAACGATAACTCAGGAACCGTTTGACCCACATGTTTGAAATTGGGTGTAGTTGTTACTGCTATGATATGGAACGTCCTATTTTGGAGCACGCCAGTCGACGTACTTTTGAGCCACGGCGATTTTTTTGGGAAAAATGGAAATTGCCATTAGTCAGTTCAGGTTGAACGGATTTTGCTCATTTTTGGTGTGTGAATGAATAAGGGCTAGGGGTTTTGATATTAAAAAAAAAAATTATGCAAATTAGGTAGGTTTATGCAATTTATGCAAAAAACGCTGATAACAAACAGTCTGTGGTGTCGCACTGATCTGGTTCGTTTTACAAGATTTCATTGACAATATCTTTAATGCAATATTGGTATTTCCTCTCCAGCCTGCCGATAAAATGTCTATTAGAGTAAAGTTTTACAAAACATGTCGGAACGCAGCATAATTCGTTTGTACCCACGATGTTAGACAGATTGCTTAATCTACAACTGTTATGGAATAAAAATACGGTCATAAGAAAGCTCTTCTCGGTTTTTCAGCGACCAGCAGTAGGCCGCCGCAGCTATCGGTGGCGGAGACGTGAGGTCACAGCTTGTATCCCACGATTGTCCGCTCCCAAGTAATTTCAAAACTACAGATAAGTACAGTATGCGGTACATACAATAGTACATATAATAAATGCACATCTCTGCAAGCTTCATCATTGTATTGGTGTCTATGTTTTTTCCTAATTTTGGCTCTATGTGACTGCAGGAGACACCAGCACAGAAGAGAGGAGGGGAAACTAGAGCGAGAGAGAGGCACGGGGGGGTGCGGGGGAGAGCGAGAGAGAAGAGGGACAGGGAGAATGCAATACTGAGTTGCATTTTTATTTTAGAAACATCTGGCGATCCAGAGAGCTTACAGTTGCTGAGATCCTCTGACAATACTTTGACACAGCATCTCGCCAACCAAATTTCTTACGACATCCAAATATACAATGGGATTATTTTACTCTGGTATTTATTCGTTCAATGAACCTACTCGTAAATGTCACCTAAATTATTAAATTGGCATTAGTTATTATTTATTTATTTAATGATTATATAAAAAACATTATTCATTTGTCTATTAATTTCGTTTGTCATCACTGCTAGATTGATTACATTCAGTCAGCACATGCAAACTACGCGGGCTTAATATACCTTATACAAGCATATGGTTCTATGGGTCCTGGTCGAGCTGGGAAAGTGTGGTAATGTGTGCTTTCGGGTACATGGCCAGCTTGGATACAGGTAATTAAGAAATTACACTTTTATACCTATAGCTATCTAGTACAGTTAATAGTAGCGCCGCGTTCACGAAGCGGAGCTGAGAAATTCGGTATTTAGCAGTTCAGCAACGAGGCAAAATGCGCGCGTCCCAAAGAAAATACCGGGTATCTAAACAGAGATCCGGTATTTGTTGAAATACCGGCTTCCCAGACCCCGAATAATTTTGCCGTGCTTGAGAAATACCTATGACTCTGTCTTGGACGCGTCATTTCCTCGTGCTGATACGGCTAAAAGACCGTATTTCTGAAGTGCGCGTGCGTATTTTATAGACATGGTCCGCGCTCCACCAGTTCCAGTGTGGAACCAGTGGAACTGTCAGAGCGCGACAGCAAGTCCTCGGTTATTTTATCGCGGCAGTTGGTGCGCATTGAATTGTTTACATTCGGCATTGTTCGCTTGCAATTGTTCTCAGTGCTACGGCAATGCCTTTTTTCGCAGTGTTACTAAAGGCGGTCTCCGCAGCTCCGCCAGCTGCGCAAATACCCTACGCATTTCTGGACCAGCGCGCGAATCAGCGCGTGTGAATCGCATTGTCTTGCGTATTTGTCTTCAGATTGCTGTATTTCGCAATACCGCCCTGAGTATGTTCATAAATACCGATGGTCTCCGTGTGTGAACGGGAACGCTATTATAAGCTATCAGATCGGTGGCAATACATACTCTCTTTTGCTATACAGCACGAGGGTTTTGCTTAGTAACATATAGCAGGCACAAGTGGGCGCACCTGCCTGTTTTCAAACTTATCAAATCGCCTGTTGTGAAATTTCCTGGATATTTACCCGCCGTTCGTCAAAAACTGTGTCAACGAAAATAATAGATACCACGTCCTTCTCACCTCGTATTTAAGATTGCTATGTCGCGTTGATATTGAGTTATTGTACGCGGAGTCTTTTTGTTCATGGTATGCGGTTTGTTTCCCAACTGGCCAGTTTACCTTTCTTCCTTTGTCTAATTTTCCACAAAAGAAACCCTGTATAACTTGGGTGATCATAACCTTAGTAGCAAGTTTGTTGCAGAGAGAATACGTTGAAACATACTGAGAGTTAGTACTTGATGCAATTAATGGTAGGCACTAATCAGTAATACACAACGGTGTGTGTCTGCCCGATTTTTTCCTGGGGGGGGGGGGGCAAAGCCATGTACCATATCTTTGGAAGGTCGTGTTTCTCGGAAGCTGACCATCGTACTGTATCTACTTTGTCTGGGGCAGACAACTGCCCCCCCCCCCCCAATGCTGCTCACGGCCCTGCTGTGTGCTGTGAAAGATTTTATTTAGGAGTTCTAATCTTCTTTATTCACGTAGAGGAGACCATAGGGCCGTGTACTAGTTGCACTATCCCCCTGCCAGTCACGGCGCTCCAATGCGCGCAAACTGGCTGTTCTGTTTAGGGCACAAGAGAAATCTCACCAAAGAGTTGCACAACTGATATCCACTATGCTATCGACACTTACTGCAGACTGATACCTGGCAACACTTCCTACAGTTCTGCAGGCTATTGCAGATGCATGTCCCAACATGTTTGCTTGCAAACGTCTAATTACAGCTCTGCACAAGCATGTAGCGCAAAATGACAGGTAAAAAATGAGCAATCAGTTACTGTCGGTGCTCTTATAAAGTTGGGGCAGAGCCACACTATTCAGTCTGCTGCAATTATCCACTATAATTGAAATGAAGATGTCAATGACACGGTAAGCTCACCCACAAATCAACGTTTGTTATAATATTCAGATTTATGAACTGCTATTAAGACAGTCGAGCTCCTGTGTGTAACGCTGTAAGATTGAGGAGGATACCGACTTATTACGCAGGCGTAGCTGCCATAATGTAGCACACACGTGACAGATTGTTGTTTCCCTACCATTCAAACACAAGACTTTGTGTCAGAAGGTTAAAATATGGTTATGCATGGAAGCTGATTTACTTCGTTTGAAGTTTTCTAGGCGGCGTAAGCACACGGTGCCATCTGTATATGCTCGCATAATAAATTGTATAACCAAAAGATGTAATCAACAATCTTGATGTGACGGTGACATGGCTCGCTAATAAGTCCCCGCGCAACCCGCTTTCTCTCACACTCGACCCACAACCTCAACACCCGCACCCTCCTG